GGAGGCGGCCTCACAAACGTGGCTCTTCCTTGCGGTGAGGGCATTGCCTCGCCGTTTATTCGGAGTCACGCCGGAGGCTCTCTCCTTTTATGTGCCAGGGCCGGTAGAACTGCAGCCAGACAGCTCCAAAGCAAGTGGTGGACAGAGGGAGTTGAGCCCTGTCCAGAGCCTTGAGTCGCCAGGAACATCCCGCTGTACGTGGGGGAGGATTTAACCCGCAGACCTTTCTGCTGTAGTTTCCAATCTTCTGTCTAGAGTGTCTAGCAGAGACGTTTTCTCCATCTCTGCGAAAATATCTAAAACTTAGAGGTGAAAACTGATGTGCCATCTAGGTGTCTTTGAGTGGACTAAAACTAATCTCGATCAGGAAACATGGGTGAAATTATTAGGCTAAATAAAACACTCAGCTGCATTAGTGCCTAGAAACAGACTGAGAGTCGTTTCTAAAATATTCCCTGAAAAGATTGCAATCATTACAGCCTGTTCTCTCTTCCCCGCCTCCCCTCCCCCAGCACCTTTGTCTGCCCCACAGAAATCGTGGCTTTCAGCAACAAGGCAAATGAATTTCGTGATGTGAACTGTGAAGTGGTGGCAGTTTCTGTGGATTCCCATTTTTGTCACCTGGCCTGGATAAATACGCCACGAAAGGTACGAACTGAGCAGCTGTTCAGGGCTTTCTCTGTGGATTTATTTTCTTTTCACAGAAGCTCCTGAGAAGAGTCAAATAAACAATTGTGCAAACACCTATTTCTGTAGAGTGCTGAAGTGATATGGGAATGATTAACTTCTGTATTTGATGACATAATTCTGACCTCAATCTCTTGTTTCCTTCCTCTTAATAATTTGGGTTTTTTAAATCTTTGTTTCGCTCTCTTGATGGTCTTGTAGGTTACATTATAACCTTAAATATTTATCCTCAAAGACAAATACTCAGTGTACGTGCACTGTCCCGATCTGCTTGTTCCAGCCAATGGTTTGTGTGCACCACCACAGAAAATGAACAGCAGCCGTTTGGTTGTTACTGTTCACCAGAACCTAACAGCCGTGGCTTCAGATGGAAGCAGAACAACCAGATTGTTGGAGAGTTTGCATTGCTAACTTTCACTTGCTGAAATGGTTCCACTTTTGCAGCACAAATGCAAGTCCTCAGCTTTCTTCAGGGAGAAAAGTGATAAAGACAGCCTTTTGATATATATATATAAACACATGTTTTGGATCATGTGAAGCATCTCACTACTTTGTGGGAGTTTTTGAAGCATCCACTAGGGGAGGGAGGAGGTTTCTTTAATTTAATATGGCTTGGCTGAGCCTATCGAGAGCATTTAATTTTCTGTGTGCCTTACTCAAAGCTCAAAAAAATGTGATTGTGGACTGACTCCACAACTTCACACGGAAGCTGTTCAGTGTATTGCCTGTCAGGCACCACCCGGTGCATGTGGAGCAAAATGTCCTGCCCAGGGTGGAAAGAATTCCGTGGTGGCACAGGCAGGGAACTGACACCTGGAGAAGTGAAGGCCTTGATTCCTCCAACGACTGTGTTCAAAGCTCTGCGTATGAGAACTCCATTGCAGATGAGCATTTGCAGGATCAGGGTCTGAGTGACTGAGATTACACAACGAGTCACTGATGATGCCAGGAATAGAAAAGCTAACAAACTCCAGGCTTGTTTCAAGGATAGAGAGCTTATCTCTCTTCAGTTCCAGTATGTTGCAAAACTGAAAGAAATGTGCATTGACTTTCCAAATAGTATTGAAATCGATTTGGGGAATGAGAAAAGAAAATACATGCACTAAATAGAGAGAGCAGGAGAACTCTGACATGGCTAGTGTAGCAGCTGGAAGCCTTGCATCTTGTCTGTTCATGGTCTGCGGGTTTGTTTTCTCTCCCCACCATGTCATCTTGTTTAATTCTGAACACTTAAATATGCAGTAGAAATCTTTGTATTCCAAGCTCCTGGACACAGTACAAGGCAAGTCTTTCTGAAAATATATGACTGTTGTCATGGGTCACCTTTTACCCCTAAAATAAGCAATTCTAAAGTGCTTAGCACAAAAGAAGTGTCCATGTTCCAAAGAAACCAAATGTTCCTCACTACTTGAAAAAACCAAACAAACCCAACCAAACAGCACCCCCCACCTGCCGTGGTTCGTTTCATGGAGAAAATAGCATGAATGGGTTTTGTTGTTGGGGTACCCTCAACAGCACTGAATCCAGTGACGTGAAAGGGATAATCCTAAAAAGTGTTTCCTAACAAAATGGCATCCTGCTCTTACTTTCTAGAGTGGCGGTTTGGGCAAAATGAATATTCCAGTTCTGTCAGACCTCACAAAACAAATCTCCCGCGATTACGGCGTGCTGCTAGAAGGACCTGGCATAGCACTAAGGTAACACGTGATTGCCGGTAACTCTGGTGTGACACAACCCAGATGAGCTGTGCTCTCTCCTCCCACAGCGGAAACTGCACAGGGATCAAATGAAGACTCTAAGATGTTAATTTTTCTGCAGAACTTCTGCTGGTTCCTTCCCTAGGAACAGCGCACGTGGCCATTGTGGCCATCATGCTGAGAATGGTTCCAGGCCCCTCTGAGAAAGTGTGCAGGGGAAAGCCAGCTACTCAGAGTGAGTGGAAGAGCTCCATGTCACTAAGGAAAACAAAGAGGAGGATAGAAGAGCGTTTTACTTTTTTTCTTTTTTTTTTTTTACATTTTTTCACAATCTAGGTCTGTCTGTTTTGTTTAGATTTTTTTTCTGAAGAGAAGAGACTGCCTTCTGTGTGAAAAGTTTCTAAAGTAGTTGTTTAGAACCCATACAGTCAATCCCATAATTGTCCAGAATATGAAAATTTGACATTTGCATTTCTACCATGAGAATACTTAGTAAAAGCAAATAGTGGTCCCTGAGATACAATGAGCTGGTCTTCTGGAGACCTTCAGTCTTTGAATCAGGGATGTTTGTTGCCAAATTAAGTTAATTAGTATGGTAAGACCAAGTCTTTGGTTTTCACAAATGTTTACATGCAACAGGATTTAGTTTAGTAGCTTAATGCTTAAGCAGCTCTTCACTCAGTACCTTCATGTTTTCATATCAAAAAGACATGGGAAGGATGCCAGCCATGAACTTTGACATAGAAGTGGAATCAGAAGTTCTGCCTTTGTTACACATCTGTCTCGATTTGATAGTTCTTATGCCTGCTGTGTGATTTCACAGTACCCTACCAGTTGGCTGGTTGATCACTTTGCTAACAGACAGCGTATCCAAACACTGTGTTGCTACTCCTGACTCTGATCTGTGCATCTAACAAGAAGTACTTTGCTGAAATGGTTCATTCAGTTTCCTGTGTTTGGTCTCGGAACGCGATCTGAATTCCCTAAACTCTCACTCGATTACAGAGGTCTCTTCATCATTGATCCGAATGGAGTCATCAAGCATCTCAGCATCAATGATCTCCCCGTCGGTCGTAGCGTGGAGGAGACGCTCCGCTTGGTGAAAGCATTCCAGTACGTGGAAACACACGGAGAGGTTTGCCCGGCAAACTGGACGCCCGACTCCCCTACAGTAAGCGTCTGCTAAATATCACTTGTCTAAATATAGACACTGGCATAGTTTTTGCGTGTCTGAAGGGCTGAGAACCACTCTAACGTGAGGTGTTTGGCTGAATCTGTGCCTGTTGTCTAAATGTGAGGTTTTTATCGGTGGGACCAGTTCAGTCTATTTGTGTGATACTAAAAGTGAGGTTTCTGTGAAGAAAGTCACTGGTTTTCTTTTAGAAGGCACAAATTGTATTTAAAACTCTAAATTTGACTTGCACTCTTCACCAGTTGTCTCCGGATTTTCTACTTTTTTAATACCCTTGCAGGAGCAATGTGTTATTTGCAAGTAGGAGCTTGTACATCATAATAATCTATTGTTTTTATGAAGTATGCATAGATTTTCTTGGATAAAGTGTCAAATCTGTATTTTTTTGATCTTAGTTATAGCTTATAATAACTGAATTTTGTTTTTTTGACAGATCAAGCCAAATCCAGAAGGTTCTAAAGAATATTTTGAGAAAGTGCATACATAACCCACTCAGATGTGTGGACGAAACTCTTAGTTGCCATAAACTGAAGATATTAGGAAAGCAGCTGTGATCATTAAAAAAAGATAATCAAATCAAAATTCTCATTTTCTCATGTCTAAAAAGAAATTAAATGCTGAAATATTTACTGACTCCCTTGTCTTGCTTTAAAAAAATAAAGGTGAAAACTAAGGCTTTTCCCCTACCTCGCTTTTGCAACTTTGGTTTCATGAATTTCTGTGGCCACCAGTCTTCCTGCATATGACAAACACGAAACACAGTTGTCATGCACTAGGTTTTTCCTCCTTCCTTAAGTAGTTTTGGATGAGAAACTGTCCTGTGTTTTCTTTTCTCACATGAGAAATAAAAATCTGTAAGAATTTGAAATGCTGGGGACACTACAGAAAAAAAGAAATTTTGATATGTGGTTTGTTTTTAATGGATTTTGCAAGGGAAGAGATGAATGTTAAAAAAAACACCATACCTGTTTTTGTGTGTAAGTGCACTATAACTTGAAATGAATGTAAATACGTGCCATTTTAGTCCTGCATATAGTCGAAGATGCAGTGCAGCTACACAAGGGCATTGACAAGCATGAGGAATTTATATTCTGCTTGGGAGATGGTAAAAACTTGAACCCCAATAGTGTACTTACTGGAGCCTAATGGCAGTCATCCATCATTTAAAGCATCGCTTATTTGCTTGAATCTGTCTCCAGGAAAAATTTAAAAGGTGAAATGTTGTACTGCTTGGAAATAATGTAGCCCATCTCTAGCTATAATAATAAATCTTAACATTGACTAGCTGCAGGTGTGTTGCTTTTCATTCATTTTTTTTTTCTGCAGATTCCTCTCTCTAATCAGAAGTTGGATAAGTGGCGTTGCCTTAGAAAGTATCTTCTATACCTTTGTTCACACAAGCAGTTGGCTCGGCCGCTGCGTGTGTGCCGTGGTGAGCTGGCCACAGGCAGTAAGGAGCAGGTGTGCCTCTGAGGGCTGCCTAAATCAATACAATAGGGTTTGTGTTTTACATCTTTTGCCCTTTTGAGCAGAGGAAATAAGAGAAACAAGCAGAAGGGAACCACCTTGGCAAAATTGCTGTTGTGTCCTAAGTTAGCTTTGTAATGGGTGTTAACGCTGCAGCGTAAGTGAAAGAATGAAAAAAAAAGCCTGACAGCGTGCGCGGCCTGGTGATGCTCCAGCTCTCAGTACTCACAAAGCTTTTTTCAGTCCAAGTCAGTGTTTTAGTTCTCTTTTGTGTAAATCTGCTAGTATCCACACAGTTTTTCCAGTAAACCTGTTCTTGTGGACTTAGAAAAGGTGAAGTTAAACCCCTGCATAGGTCAGTAATGCAAAATAACATGCTAGTACAAGAAAGATCTGGATGTCCTGGAGCGTGTCCAGAGAAGGGCCACGAGGATGCTCAGAGGGCTGGAGCACCTCTCCTGTGCAGACAGACTGAGAGAGTTGGGGCTGTTCAGTCTGCAGAAAAGAAGGCTCCGAGGAGACCTTATTGTGGCTTCCAGTACCTCAAGGGGGCTACAAGAAAGCTGGGGAGGGGCTTGTTAGGATGTCGGGTAGTGACAGGACTAGAGGGAATGGATTAAAGCTGGAGATGGATCAGTTCAGATGGGACATGAGGAAGAAGTTCTTCCCCATGAGGGGAGGGAGACCCTGGCACAGGTTGCCCAGAGAGGGGGTGGAAGCCCCATCCCTGGAAGTTTTTAAGGCCAGTGCGTCTGGGCAGCCTGATGGAGTGGGGGATGTCCCTGCCCATGGCGGGTAGGGTTGAAAGTAGATGATCTTTAAGGTCCCTTCCAACACTGGCAATTCTATGATTCTAAATCACAGAGCAGTGACAGGCTGATCTGAGAGCTGTGGAATGGTTTGGGTTGGAAGGAACATTAAAGA